ATAATTATATCATCTCAATGGCTTGCTGGCATCACCTTTCAACCAAAAATGCCATGCATCATATTACTTGGCTGTGGCTCTTAGCAATCACTGTATATCATTATTGGTAGCATCAAGTATCTCCCTGCATGATTCATAGGAAGCACCTATGAAGCACTTTCGCTAAGTTCAAGTTGAATCTAATCAAGCTACTAGAGTTGCATTATTCAATATGCTAGACATGTATAATTATTTCAATGAACCAAAACTAAATAAATTTACAGCTCAGTTCCTCATTTGCACTAGTCATATTCAAAGTGCTCAATAGCCATATATGGCTAGTGACTATGTACCAGTGAATGCAAGTAGAATATTTTCATCATCACAGAATATTCTAGTGGGCAGCACTACTCTAAAGCTAACTTCACTTGAAGCGAATGGGGGAGGAGAACATGTTAATAATAGTAATATCTAGAATGTGAGACACTGTATAGGACAACTGCCTCAGTCTGCAACAAGTCAATGGTATTAAAAGTGAAAAGGAGAAGGAAAAGAAGTTAAAGGAGAAGAAGGAAGGAAAAGCAAGAAGTACTAGTAGTGAGGAGAACTTCTCTAGATAGAAGATAGTTGAGACCTAATAAGCAATTGTAATATATGGACTTTATTGGAAAGTTAATTTGAATAAACTAACTTATAGAAACTATCAGGAAAATTTGATTATGGTTTAAAATTAATTTTTATAGGTATGATAAAACCTTTGTGTTTATATAAGACAAATATTAACATTGTTTAGAGATGCATATTAAATTATGTAGTGATAAAATGATATAATGCTAAGGTTTTGCTTTCAAGGATTCAGTAAATGCATTAAAGGAATAGATACAACAAATGTAGAAAAATCTTGATAATTATTGAATCTGGGTGATGGATATATAAAGTTTCTGTACTTCTATCGTAATATGTGTTTAAAAATATTCACAACTGGGGGTTGTAACACTCACCTGTATGTAATCTCAGCTACTTGGGAGGCTGAGGTTGGAGGATTGCAAGTTCAGTGCCAGTTTGGGCAACTTAGCAAGATCTTGTCTGAAAATAAGCTGGGGTTGTAGTTCAGTGGTAGAGTACTTGACTAGAATGGGTGAGGTACTAGGTTTGAGCCCCAGTACCAGCAAAAAAATTTCATAATCACAATTTTTAAAAATCAATAGTTAAATTAAAAAAATATCATAGCCTTTTGTGGAACTTCTGTCCTAAAATAGTCCATCAAAAGGATTCTTGGTGGCATTACATGCAGTTCTCTTTGATAGAAGTCTCACATATGTATACAAAAAACATGATGGATCTCTTCACCTCTAATATAGGTAAGTTAAGCAAATTATTGTGGTCCGTAACATTTTAAAGTAATTGAGAGGGAAATTCATTTAAAGGGGGAAAGAAGCACTGTGTTGTAAGAACAGTGGTCTCCTAATCCAAAACAGGAGCTGGAAATTTGAGTGTTTCTTTAAGTGTACCCACTTCTCCAGAATTTCTCCCAGTACTAGGAGTGTTTTCAAGAGAAAGAATCAAATTACAACTGAATGGCTTTTAACAATCCTGAAGTCATTTGGGATCTGGGCCCACACATGACATCTATTTCATAAAACTTATAAGAGTTCAGGAGTCAGACTATGTTACTTTTTGCCTTGTGTTTAATACACTAGCATTTGTAGGCTTAATATTTAAATAATTATGACTTCTCTTAGACATTTTGTACTATATAGTTCTTCTATTTAAACTTAATTTATATTCAGAAAGAAACTAATTTGCTCCTTAAGTTTCAGCTGGCTAGCACTATATCTTTGGGAGTAGTAAGCAAATTATGACACAAGCAATTTCTCAGAAACTTTATTTTGCAACATTAAAAAAAGCAGAAAAGAGTATAATTAAGTTCTAAAACTTGTTAAAAAAAAAGAAAAGAAAAAGACGGAGGCAGGCCTAGGGTTTGGGGATGTTGCTCAGAGGTAGAACACTTGCCTAGCATGCAGAAGGCCCTGGGTTTAACTCCCAGTACCATATAAACAAAGAAAACTTGTAAAATTTTAAAAAGTGTGTCTACTGTTTTGGGACATAAAATGCATGCTTTGAAGCCAGCAATGGCTCAAGATGAGGTTACTTCTTATGTGATTATATGTATTTGTCTCCTACCAAAAATATACATCTTTGTGTTCTTTTTTGGTTCTCTTCTGTCTTTATTTAATCTTGCATTTTTTATTTTTATATTCATATCCATCTATTTACTCCTATTTCCATCCATTTATTCACAGCATATTCATTGAACACCTACTATGTCCCAGGCACTGTTCTGAACAATTTAGGTACAAAGGTGAATAAGAAGCAAACTATGCTCATGAGCTTACATTCTACTGTAGGAAGAAACTTAATAATTAACAAGTGAGAATAAACAGAAAAAGTATTATGAAGGGCAAGAAGGAAATATCCAAAGTGATGAGATAGAAGGTTACAGGTTAGAGAGAGCAAATGAGAATCTGGCTTAGATTTAGTGGCTAGCTTGGCTCCCCAAGGGTATGACAACATTTGACCTAAGACCTTAAAAGAGAAGCATGACCACTAGCCAAGACTTTCAAATGAAAAGATATGCAGGTGAAAGGAACATCAAATGCAAAGGGCCAGGAGTCAGGAAAGAAATTGGTATATTTCAGGAACCAAAAGGAGGCCAAAGATCATACAAAGAGAACCCTGGGGAGGGGAAAACTGTGAAGGGGAAGCTGGCAGGAACTGACACTCACTCAAACTACACTACCACTAGCTTGCACAGGAACTTAGTTGTGGCACACAGTGCCTACCTCATACTTGTAATATCTTCTTCCTTGCTAAAAGAAACCCAGTTTTGTTTGGGTGGCAATGCATTCAACTCCAGGGAATGAATTATTATTCGTAAGTTCTAGCCAATGAGATCTAAGACAAGACAAGAAGAAGAGATTTGGGGAAAGGAGTAGGATTATATATATATATATATATATATATATATATATATGACTTAAAATGTGGCTGAAACATTCAAATAAAAATATGAAATCAGTAAGTAGAGGAGTTTGAGGGACTGGGGTAAAGTCTGGGCTTGATTTTAGGTTGGTGGCTGTGAATACAAGGGTTTTTTTTTTGTTGTTTTAATTTAAGGCTACAGTGATAGATAAAATCTTCTCCACTAGTCAAAATCTGAGGGATTCCAAAATTAGAGATCAGTTAGAGGAAGGAGACTGAGAAGTATTCAGAGGTAGAAGAAAAACCATTGCCAATAATAACCCTAACAACAACTTGGCATTTATTTAGAATTTAGGACTTATATAGAGCTTACTTTTTGCCAGGCACTGCTCAAAGCACTTTGTGGCTTCAAAGAAGCAAAGAGAAAAAAGTGTTTTCCTTTTCTGTTTCTCATTTTCTCCTTTGGCTTTCACTCCTACACTCAAAAGGCTTAGGTGCAGTGTTTCTCCACTTTTACTTATTCATTGAAAATATCCAATTGACACAATACTGGAAAGCTAACTAGAAAATAAAAACCCTCAGAAACTTTCCTCCCCAGCCTTACCCACCAGAGGTAATCAAGTTTCTTGTATACCTTCCAGAAATTTTACATACACAAACACACACACACACACACACACACACAGACTTGTTATTGTTTATTTGTATGTTTTTGGTATTTTGGATTCCACTTAGGGGCGCTCTACCACTGAGCTACATCCCCAGTCCTCTCATAAGTTGCTGAGGCTGGCCTCCAACTTGTGTTCCTAATGCCTCAGACTCTGGAATTGCTAGAATTAAAGGGATCGGCCACCCCATTCAACTGGTGACTTGTTTGGATACAAATAAGATCTGTACGGATTCATACATATATATCTAATTCCACAACTTGTTATTTCACTCAATTCACTTTTGAGATATTTCTAAATCAGCACATTTGTTCTTTATAAGACTAGTATCCCATTGTAGCAATATGACATAATTTAGATCCTCTATTGATAAACAATTCTTTTTTGGCTTTTTCTTTCCACTGAAAAACATCTTTGTATATGAATCATTGAATATTGGTGCAAAATTCTTGGATAATTTCCTGGGATTGAAATTACTGAATTGAAGCACTTAAGCCTTTCATATTATTAATTTACTCCTCCCAAAAGGTTGTACAACTGACACTCTCTCCGACAGCATTCCTTGTATTTTGGTCAACATTTATTATTTATCAACTTCAAAAATGTGCTAGTCTAATCGACTGAAAGAAAGAGTGGCGTTTTGCTGTTCTTATTTGAGACTCTATGAGTAGGGCAGCAAGGTTTGATTATTAAACATGCAGATTTTGAAATTATACTTGCATGGCTGGATTCTAGCCCTTCCTCTTAAATTAAATGTGTGACCTCGGGCATGTTCAGTCTATTTCTTCTCAAAAACAGGCGGCGGCGGAGAGCGGGGTGCCTGATAGTACGAACACAATCTTTAGAATTAAATGAGATACGGATCACATATTCAGTAGGTGCGGTACTAGTCTTAATTTTTTGGAGCCATGTTCACTCCAGTGTTTTATCTAGGGCGTCCCTGTCTTCCCAAATTTTGCAGAACTCTCTTGTTGCGGGTAATTCGAAATGAGAGGTAAATTGGCTCTGCTTTTAAAAAATTAGCCCCCTCCATTTCCGCCTTAGACCTGCTGGTTTATATATCAATTGTACAAAAACAAGTTGCAGCTTTAAAAACACGCAAAGTGGACACCGTCCAAGTAACTCCCGCAGGCTAGGATCCGCCGTTTACAGGGTAAGGAACACTATAACAACAGTATCTAACGCTAACTAACACCTCACCACCCACAGAGCCATCGCGGACTGATTGGCAGGCTGAAAGACTTCCGAGACTTAAACGGGAAAGCGTTCCAGTTCCACGCGCGAGACTCAAGACCTGGGCCGCGCCCCAGGCCACGCCCACCAGGAAGTGACGCACCGAGCTGAGTACTTCTTCTTCCGCTGTCCGCCAGTTGCGCGGCCAGGCCAGCGCGGGTGTGCGTCGGCGTCGCTGCCTGCAGAGGGATTCTGGGTAACGGCCCCGGCTGGCTGGGGCGGCTGGCTGGGTGCAGTAGGTTCCATTCACGCCAAGTCCGTTGGCAGTGGCGGTTGTAGGGCTGCGGCCAGTTGGACATGGAACAACCGTGGCCGCCGCCCGGACCCTGGAGCCTCCCTCGGGCAGAGGGTGAGACTGAGGAAGAGAGTGACTTGGATGTGTCCCCTGGCTCTCCCCGCTGCCCGCCGCTGCCGGGCGGTGGCGCCCAGGTGAGGGGGGCCCACGTTTTGCTGGGGGATGGGGAGATGCTGGCGCCAAGCCCCCTAAAATGTCGCGTCTCTACGACCCGCTTCTGTGCCCACTTCTGTACCCACTACAACCCCCGGGGCCTGATGCCATTCCTCCGCTATTGTAGCATCTTTTGGAGTGAAGAAGCGGTAGCCATATATTCATTCCCAACCACCACCTCCACGCACACATTTTCGCTTACCTTGGATGATTTCTTCTCATCCTTGGAATACAGTCCTCATTCCCTCTTTCGTGACAGCTCCCAGATTTGGGGCGGCACACCCGGTGTGACATTGACCCTTTGTCCTCTCGTGCGTGCTTTTTTGTCCGAATTCTTTATTCTGTTAAAGGCCCCAGTGTACTTATGCACGGCTGATAGGAATAGTTAGTGGTTATACTTCAACGTTACACTGAGTCCTCACATAAAGATTTCACGTGCTCTTTAACGCACGTTAACACCTGAGCAAATTTTGTAAACCTCGGTTTAGATGCTGGCGCACACCTTCCAGTCGGGTGACTTTCCCTTGCTGTTTTGTTTTTAGTTCTGACTGCTTAATGACATTCTCCAGTGAAAACATACTAGGCACAGCCTTCCTCCCTCTCTCTCTCTCTCTCTCTCTCTCTCTCTCTCTCTCTCTCTCCCTCCCTCCCTCCCTCCCTCCCTCTCCCTCTCCCCCTCCCTCCCTCCCGCTCCCTCTCTCTCTCCCTCCCCCTCTCTCTCTCTCTCTCCTTTTTTTTTTTTTCCAGACTCTTTGCTAAGATTCCTAATGCTACTTGTTTTCAATCCAGATTTCTTGTCTCTGCAACTTAACCAAATATGATATTTAGGATTTTTCTGGGTCCAATCGTAGGTAGTGCTTACATACTCATCACCTTTTCATATTTTTTCTCTTAACCTGAGTGTTTTGGGCTGTATTTCGGGATCATAGACTAAATACTATTATGTTCAACGAAATGGATTGTAGATGTCTGCCTAGGCTTTCTGCAGACTGAGGTTCAATAACAGCATAATAGAATTAATAGCAGTTTTCCCTCAAAACTCATTGTGCTCAATGTTAATGAAGATTAGTGATTTAAATTTGTTTTTCTAGTAAGTATAGGATCATCAGTCTTATTTCAGCTAATGGAGTTGGTTGGCTTCACACGGAGAAAAATGCTGTTTCATAACCACAGTCTGTACTTAGCCAACGGGTCACTGGGAAAGTGAGGCAGAATAAGAGTTGATGTGTCAGTAGTCACCCACTAATTATGGATCACTAGTGTCATTTTTATATACAAAATGTGTTATGAGCCTATAATGCATTACAGAGGTGGGGGAAGGAAGGGAGTATGAGAGAATGAACAGCAGTTGCTGTTGTCAATTTTAAAGGCAGACGGAGAGAAAAAAGTCTCAAGAATTTCAGTACATTATAATTGAATCACAAAAGTTACTTAAGAGAAACTCTTAAGATTAATATACATTAATTAGATTAAAAGATTAATATACATTTATATTAATCTTTTACTTGTGCACTTACAAACTCATAATAGGAGAAAAATATTTTATAAGTGAATAGGCTTATCTCCTTCACTAAATGTGATTTCCCTGAGGCCATATAGCTAGTTGTAGCAGAGTCAAAATTAGAATTTATGACTTCTAGTACAGTATTTTTGCCCACCTACTACACTACTCATCCTAGGAAATACTATAAAACTGTGTAGCTGATATTACCTTTAAATAGTCTTCAGATTTGCAAAGTGATTTCTAATTTTAAGTTCAGGTGTTCGTTACAACTCTGCTTATTTTGTCTTGCTGACTTTAGGACTTAAATTTTTGAACTGGAATATTCGGGAAGAATAAAATGTTTAATCCAATAAATAGGCACTTAAAATTATTCTTTAAAAAAAACTTTGGATTAATTTTTACCAAATATGATAGATTTAGATATCTTAATGTAATAAGCAGTGTATGATTCTGAGATTCCCAATTAAGGTAAAAGCAAATTAGAATATAGATATCCTTTTTGAGAATTTTTAATGTGACGTTACTAACATTAGTGGACTTTAGCAGTTCCTTTTCAGAATTTATGTTCATTAAAAAATAATTATATCCATCTAAGACATCAAGGTCATGGATTAAAATATGACCTAATATTTTACTTAATCTGAATACATCCTAGATAGTTTGCCCAAGTAGCCAAATGGTATCTCTAATTGCTATGGAGAAGAATTTAAATAGAAATCATTTTTGGAATTGGTTTGATTTAAAAAAATTTTTTTTTTGCTTCCACATAATTCCAAAAAATATAAGGTATGGTATAGCTTTGTCTTTTTATAAATTAAGTTTTATAGTTTCATTTTTCTTTTTTTGGCCCCATTTTTAAGCATAGCTAGTTTCCAGTTTTTTCTTTGATCCTATTCTAAGATAATCAAGTAAAACATTTATTTTTACTTTTGGCTTACTTGTAGGGGACCTGGGCTACAAATCTGTTGAATGAGTAAATAAAACATCTGCATTATAATATTATAATTATAGTGTAAGAGGCCTTACTTGCTACTTGCCTTAGAATTCTTTACCACCTGACCAGTCTGTTCTAAGAAGTGAAGATTCATTTATTCCTCTATTATTTATTGAATGCTAGCCCTTCAAGAAGCTTAGATGCTGAAAATACAAATAAGTACAATATTATATGAAAAATATTATATAAAACGTGTATTATATCTTTGGTAGGAACAGAATGAATAAGAAAAAGCTTATGGGTTGTTAGAATCTGGAATGGAGATAGGAGTTTACCTAGAGCAAGGAGGATTGCCAAATTGAAGGGGGCAACAGGTTGAAGGCGGGAAGAATAAGCAAACAAATGGAAGAGTACCTATATCTGAGACGGGAGAGATTATAGGAAATGAAATCATGAAGTACCATGCTATGCCACAGAATTTGCATGTTATTCCAAGAGTCTTAAGAACGAGTAATGTGATTGAATTTGGTTTTTTTTTTTTTTTTTTGGAAAGATGACTACAGCGTAGTGGAGTAGAGAATAGCTTGAAATGAGACAGACTATTTGTATAATTTAGGTATAAAGTTATAAGAGCTTTTCAATAGTGAAATATATATAGGAACAGATTGAAGAGAAATTATTCTGAATAAGTAGTTTGAAGTTGATTTATATTTGGCCAAGAAATCATAATATGCCTTCCTCTTTTTGACTACCATATTGCTTTACACACAACAATTAAGTAAATATCACTGCTAACTCGGTGGCACATGCCTGTAACTTCAGGTGGAAACAAGGCAAGAGGATCACAAGTTCAAGGCCAGCCTCAGAATTTTAGAAAGGTCCTCAGCAACTTAGTGAAACATACACAAACACACACACACACACACACACACACATATACACATATATATGTGATAAAAAATAAAAAGAATGTTGCTTAATGGTAGAATGTCACTGTATTTAATCCTTAGTACCACCAAATAAATAAACAAATAAAACACAATATTAAAAATCTGTAATTATTACTCTGAGTAGGATAGAATCACCAGGGTAGAACAGTTGGCAGGTATTAATTTAAATAACTTTGCCTATTTTTATTAGGATAAAGTTAAAGAATATCTGTCTGATATAATCAGTTATAAATAGAAATTTCTATTAAGATCTTCTCTGATCACTAGGGATTGGGATAATACACAAAGAAAGCAGAAATCAAGAAATAATTATTTCTAAACAAAAGGAGATTCCTTACTGTGAAGAACTTGCAGAACAAAACTCTAAAAGATCTGGTTTTCAACACGTGGAGTGTTGAGGTGGTAAGCTAGATTTAATCTTTATTCTCATTCTGTTGGTCCAGGATTATGAAGACTGTGAGTCAAATGTTGAGTACCAGCTATATGCAAGTCACTGTGATAGTTGCCAGACTTTGTGGTGTTGTTAGTTGTTGGAGGAGGGACACAGGTTAACAAAGAAGCTTAGAATCTAGTTGATGAAACAAGGCCTATAATATAAAAATGTAACTTGTAGACAAAGAACACAGGATAGGCTATGCACCACAAACATTGTACAGAGATCCTTTGAATAAAAATTTTTAAAAGAGTTGAGCTGTGCTGCACAAATATATCCATTGCAACCTTCATTTCTTACAAATACTGTTTTTCTATTCAGATGTATAGCCATGGGATTGAGCTGGCTTGCCAAAAGCAGAAAGAGTTTGTGAAGAGCTCTGTGGCGTGCAAATGGAATCTTGCCGAAGCTCAGCAGAAACTTGGTAGCTTAGCACTGCATAATTCTGAGTCCTTGGATCAGGAACATGCCAAAGCACAAACAGCAGTATCAGAACTAAGGCAACGAGAAGAAGAGTGGCGACAGAAAGAAGAGGCTTTAGTACAAAGAGAGAGGATGTGTCTGTGGAACATGGATGCCATTAGCAAGGATGTTTTTAATAAGGTATGACCTTTTATTGGGCTATAAAGAAAGGAGAAAAATTTAAGTATTTGTACGTTTTGATAGCAAAACAACCAAGTATTTGTAAAGTGTTCAAATTTTGATAGTTTATGGAAAGTACAAGTACTCCAGCATTGTCTTAATTCTAGTAGTCCTTAATACAAATATATGACAATAGCATGACACATGGTATAGTGCAGTTTGGGCTCTGAAATTAGACTGTCTTAAATCTCAACTTTATTACATGCTAGCTTTGTGACCTTGGACAAGTCACTTAACATCTCTTAGCTTGGTAGCTTCAAATAAAGTAATGTCTTAAAAGTGTGGTAGCATAGAACCTGGTATGTGGTAAAGCTCAGATGTTACGAGTACTTTCTGACATTGCAATGCTGCCTGCTTGCTATCAGTTTGGTAACACATTTAGTTATTGGACTTACTAGATAAAAATCTTTTCACTGTTTAGTTACCAATGTTTAGTAAATTTAGGAGGTAATCTAGAAAATGTCATAGTACTGAAAAGAACTTTTTAGAAATAATTCAGACTCTTTTGTCTCTTAAAATAGTGTAGTAGTTTGTCAAGTTGTTTTAAGAGCAGTATTGTGTTTCTCATTAGAATATATAGGCCTTTTTCTTTTACTTTTGTCGCTGAAGAAGAAAAAGTCAAAGACCATTTATTGCTGGGAGAGTACAGAAAAACAGTATTCTTCAGACCATGGGGTCATGACCAATTTAAGTTGGCTATGAAAACAATTTGGTGCATTCCTAGCAGCATTTTTTCTTTTTCAAGTAGAATCTGATAGAAAAGATCAAAGTGCATCCCACTTAGGGTCAATATTGTATTGAAAAACTAGTATTTTAGGTATTTGTGTGCATGTTAGGACAAAACGTACAATCTATTTCTTCATCTAAACTGTAAGTTTGAAAGTTCTTACTCTAGAGCTGCAGACTACAGGCAGGTTTGTTGCACCCACCTCCCAATGCCCGCCTCCCATCCCAACCTCCCCATATTGGAGAATGAACCTCAGGGCCTGGAACATACTAAACAAGTGTTTTACAAACACTGAGATACATCTCCAGCCCTTTTATTTTTTATTTTGAAACAGGATCTCACTAAGTTGCCCAGGCTGACCTTGAACTTGCAATCCTCCTACCTCAGCCTCCCAAGTTGCTGGGATTACAGGCATGCACCACAGCATCCAGCTTTGTAGGCAGTTTTTTTTTTTTTTTTTTTTTTTTCATTTTCTTTTGTTTGTTTTTGTGTTGCTATAGATCAAACCCCAGGCTTTGTGCATATTAGGCAAAGTGCTCTGTCACTAAGCTATATCAGTAGCCCCTACAGGCAGTTATAATTTACAGGCTCAATTAATTGTTTATGTAAGATAATGTTGAACAAATACTATATATAAAAAGCATTCTTAAAATGCTTTTAAGGATTTAGAAATTTTAAGGATGAGAAAATATCTAAATCAAAGTTAAATTTTCTCTCACATCTCATTTTGTACCCTATGTTTGGTAGTCATTGCATTAAGAGTTATTTTCATTCAGCTACCTTATTTTATAAGTGAAGAAATAGAAAAGTAAGTACAGTGACTTGATAACATAACAGTGGATTAAATTTGAAGAATAAAATCCTTACTCTGGGATTTGAAGACTAGATAAGGTAAAGAAAGGTGTTGAATATCCTTTACTAAAGATACCTTTAAGAATGAAAATGATGATGGGGCTAGGGTTGTGGCTCAGTGGTAGAGTACTTGCCTAGCACGTTAAGGCCCTAGGTTCAATCCTTAGCACCACATAAAAATAAATAAATAAACTAAAGGTATTGTGTTCATATACAACTAAAAGGAAATAAATAAAAAATAATGAAAATGATGTCTATTATTAAATGAAGATAACAGATAATAGATATTAATGATAGACTTAAAATCCCATATTTCTCACACTGCTCAGGGGTTATATGTTTGTTTTCCATTTGAAAACTAGAGCTTCTAGAGATTTTTCAAAACACATGAGAAGGAGGAGAAAGTCAGAGCCTAATAACTTTTGGGGGGCGGTGAGAGGACTGGGGATTGAACGCTGGCACTTGACCACTGAGCCCATCATCAGCTTTATTTTGTATTTTATTTAGAGACTGTGTCTCACTGAGATCCTTAGTGCCTCACTTTTGCTGAGGCTGGCTTTCAACTTGTAGTCCTCCTCCCTCTGCTTCCCAAGCTGGTGGGATTGCAGGCATGGGCCATTGCACCAGGCTAGAGCCTAATAATTTTATGAATTAATGATTTTAATATGGGATAAAGTAATATTATGTTGAAGCATAGCATTCTGTATTGAGCCTTACTCTGTAGAAATGTAATGAAATCTGTGAACATACTTATAGGCACAAATATTTTATGTTAATTTTTTTCCACTTTGCTAAAATGGCTAAAGGAAACATTTATCAGAAGCTAAAAGCTTTTGCCTTTACCACAAGGTGGATTTTGTATATTATCCTCTATTAGTGTTCCCTGAACTTGAAGCAGGGATGATGTTACTACATTTATGTAGAGAATAGACAGAGATAGACATTCAGATGTCATCACTTTCCTTAATTAACCCATGAACATATAATGTAGGAGAGAATTTGGTTCTTTTTTAGCTTTTTTAATATGGAAAATATTATATATATTAATATAAATTTAATATTTTAATATTAAATATATATTATAATATATATGAACGTATATATCAATATACACAAAGTAAACAGACAAACCCCATGTTGCACATCAACACCGTCATCATTCTGTCATTCTCATTTGATCTGTACCTTCATTTGCTTGATTATCCCTGAACCTATCCCTCCTTGATTATTCATTTTTTTGTTTGTTTGTTTATTCTTTGGGTAACATTTTACGTTGAGGTACACAAATCTCATGTGTAACATTTTAGTAAATAGCTGGTAGCCCACACCTATAATTCCAGTAACTAAGTAGGCTGAGGCAGGAGGATCACAAATTTGAGGCCAGCTTCAGCAACTTAGTGAGAACCTGGCTTAAAATAAAAATATTAAAAAGGCTGGGGATATAGCTCAGTGGTAAAGTGTCCTTTGTTCAATCCCCAGTAAAAATTAACAACTAGATATAGTTATGTAATCCACACTCTATTAAGATGTATAAATTGGAACTTAAAAATCAAGTATTTGATTTAAATCTTTGGTCTGCAACTTATTGGGGCAATGAAAGACAGTCATTTTCTATTAATTTGTTAAGGGAAATTTTTTTGTATTTGTTCTAAATTTAACCCTTGGGCTATAGAGATTGGCTGCTCATTCTTGTCTAAATCAACATTCACCCTGTCTTTAACCATCATTATTTTCTAGACTTCTCATCCTATAACTTATTTAATTTCTGTCTTCCTGGCATCCACTCTCACCCACTCATTGAGCACTATTTATTAACTGCCTCTTCTGGACCATCTTCGGTTCTACTGCAGCAGTCAGTAAGACACATAGGTAAATGTGCATCACCACTAGCCATATCAATAATTCCTTCTTTGAGAAAATTTTTAATAGTAAAACATGCTTATTGATAAATAAACAATAAACAAGCATGTAAAATAGAAATTCAAAGGCTCCCTTTACGTTTAGTTCCATTTTCCAGACATAACCTCTGTTAAGAATGAGTCATATCTTTCTAGACTTTCTTTGTGCCTGTTCTAATTTATATATATTTTTCTCCCCTACAACAGGATCATTCTTCATTTAAATAATTTGCTATTTGTATAAATGTATTAAGGGGTGTGTCTTAAGTGTTATTTTACTTCTGTTTTACATTATACCCTCAAAATATTTAAAATAATTAAAAAAAATTTTTTTCTTCCAGAGGGAACAGTCAAAGCAATGTTTATTTTATATAGTTAATGTTTCTTAACACAGTGCTCACAAAGAATATTTTCATTTTGTTTCTGCTTTTAATTGTTTCTTTAAACTTAATTTCTAACATAGCCTACATTTATATCACAAATTAATTAGGACTGTTTTTTATGTTCCAGTCATTTTCTCAAAATCGTACATTGATTTTGTCTGGGAGCTTGAGACTTGAGAGGACTGGTCTAGATCTGCGCTATCCAACTTGATAGCCACTAGCCACATGTGCTATTGAGTGCTTGAAATGTGACTAGTCTGAACTGAGATGTGCTGTAAGTGTAAAATACACACCAGATTCTGATGGCTCAGTATCAAAAAAAAAAAAAAAAAAAAATTCATTAATATTTTTGTGTTGCTTACATGTTAAAATGATAATATGTTGGATATGTTAGGTTAAATAATGTAGTTATTAGTTTCATCTGTTTCTGCATTTTAATGTGGCTAATAGGAATTTGATATTTGTGACTTGGATTATATTTCTATTGGACAGTGCTGGTCTAGATGGCAGAATATATAAAGGGGAAAATGCTTTTATTTTGAAATGTATAAACTTTTGTGGGCTTCCTGGTCATAAACTGACAGAAAGCTGGTTTTACTTTTTATTTTGGGCAGTGATAATATCAGGGTATAAATGTAATCACAGAATGTTCTGAGAAACTGTGCTGTCAGTTTCGCTGGCTAGAGATAAAAACCTCATTTTTGGTCTGTTTTAACTGAAAATAAGCACTTCTTTAATAGAATTTTGTACTTGATTTCAAGAATCAAACTTGCCTCTTAAGAAAAATTTATTAGCAATACAACCCAGATGTATGTTTTGATTTATCTCTTCTCAAAGAATTTATAGTAAATACTTTACTGTCTGTGTGCTTTGAATTTCTGAGTTTATTTCTAGCAGAATCCAAAAATTAGGCTAGAGTTGCAAATGTTCACAGGAAATGAATAGTGTAAACCTAAATTATTCATGTAAAGAATCTTTCTGAACCTAGCTTTAGTAGGGCAACCATTTTAACAAAACGGATTAATTCAGTTGGTTTTTTCTGTATGATTTTCAAGATAAATCTATAATTTTCCAGACACACATTAAACAAAACTAAGCTCTCAAATGAAAAAAAATTTACCTTTTTAATGAAGAACTTAATAATGATATAATAGAATCATATTACACCACATTTTTATATTGTTTATTGGAAGAATTGCTAGACATTCAATGTCTAAGAAAGAAGATTCAAGAACATAAAATCCAACTTTAATTTCTAAATTTCTTTCATAGAGTTTTATTAATCAAGATAAAAGAAAAGAAACAGAAGATGAAGATAAATCAAAATCATTTATGCAGAAATATGAACAAAAAATCAGACATTTTGGTAAGTCTACTCTCTGAATTTCTTCTTTATAATATTTGGTATCATATATATATGTGCAAAAAAATGGATTTATAAAATGGGAACCAAAAAGATATGTAACAGACTCCAGTTATGTAGCTACTTCTGGAGATGTACAAATCTTATTGTAGACATTTTTTGGGGTCATAAATAATATAGATTGATAGAACAAATCAAATTGTGAGGAAAAGCAAAATTCAGTCTATTAATAATACCTTCTGAAACCATCTTCTTTATTCCATGGTCTCTTTCCAATCTTGACTAGCCTCTGCTTTTTTCTTTCTTTTCTTCCTTGGTATCTGCTTATCCTTTTGTTAAAATATTAGCATTCTTTTTTTTTTTTTTTTTTAAAGGTTTTATGCTGTGTAACTCAAGCAGGTTATTTAACAGTTATTCAGATAAATGTAGTGATAGAAATATGTATGCAAAGAACTGATAGTTTTTCTATTGGGGGAAGAAGACTGGGATGAGGTCAATGTAAAGTGAAGGCTTCCCAAGAAAGGTGACATCTGAGCCTGCTTATGAGGAACAGATAAGAGTTTTCCATGTAGCAACCATAGCGGCATGTAGAAATGCAGCCAGGCAACAGTATGTTGTATTCTAAGAATTATAGACAGTATACTGCTGGAATGAAAATGCTGTTGGGAAGTTTTAGGAGTTAAGGTTCAATTCATAGTTTTTTTAAAATCACCAGTAATATGTTAATTTAGCAAACAGTACAAAAGAACACTATGTTCACGAATATTTTAAATGGCATTTAAAAATTTTTTTTTTCTCCCATTGGCATTTCTCCCAAAGTATTTAAAATTTCATTTATGCTTCACTAATGTCAAGACAATGGATAGTATTGTCAATGTTTTCTCATCTGTTTATTTTTTCATGAAGAATTCATTTTTTCATACCTCTTATTTAAAATGAAGAAAAACTTAGTACATAAAGAAGTATAGACAAAGTCTGCATTTCTACATATTATTGTTGTGATGTTTTTTATATTTTTATTTTTTAGTTGTAGTTGGACACAATACCTTTATTTACTTATGTGGTGCTGAGGATCTAATCCAGGACCTCACATATGCTAGGCGAGCAATCTACTGCTGAGCCACAACCCCAGCCCCCATTGTGATATTTTTTATAATAGAAAAAATGAATAAGCAGTCCTCCCTTAGATAGATATTGAAATCTTTAAATGAGTAGAGCCTTATGTCATAATTTTTGTAAAACTATTTGTCTTAGTTGTATTATGTGAGCTGCCATTCCCACCTACAGTCCGTGCTTTCTAGGTCTATGTGTTCTGCTGTAAGAAAAAATAATGCACCATCTACTGGTTGCTCTTTTAGAGCATACACCGATTCTGGTAGAACAGCATCCCTGAAGACGTTTTTACCCATCTAGTATTCTATAGGCTAGTTGCTTTGGAGCCATGGAACCTAGTAGGTGAGAAACAGTTCCTTCACTTTTATTGTAAACTGGGTGGTGTGGTCAAAAGTAATTTTATGTGGGAAAATATCCCAGTTTTCACAAGTTGTTGTAACCCACCTGGTACTATGACTGAGTCTTTAATAAATAATTTCATCATTCTATAAAACCTCCTTCTGAGTAATGATGTTCAGGGTAAGACGAGTGATTTCATGAGCCTACAGTCATCATTTCTTTTGTTATAAATAAACCAAAAATCATGTGGGATATTGAATAATTCACTTAGTAGGACCACAGGTATATTACTGATAGAAACATGGTAAGCAGAGAGGGCAATTCCAGATCTAGAATGGGCTTTCTCAAGTGAGAAATTACTGTCTCTTTAAGATGAAATGGGACCAAAATATGTAATCTGCTTCTTGATGACTGTATAGTTTCTCTTGTGTATGTTGCCATATTGAGGTTTTGGCATTGGTTTCTGCTACTGGCAGATCAGGTATCCATTGGCTGTGCTGAGTTGGGATACTGGAACATCCCTGATGAGGAAAATCCATACTGTTGAATCTGTGCATAATCTCAAGCCTGTGCTACAATAACTCCTTAGTTTATGAAACTATTGTACGTGTAATGAGGTAGCTGAGGGTAAAAGCTAACTTGACACCTATAGGTCATTGATAAGCAAAATTGTTTTGAACATTGCATGTTGTAAACATCCACTACCTCATCTTGTAATACTAACCAGAGCATTGCTGTCTTCGAACCCAACCAGACTTGATAGCCACTCCCAGATTCACATTGTGCCTGTCTCTTAGTGGAAATACATATTGACTTTTCACTTTGGAGGAGATATCCTACTTGCCGCAGCACATTGGATCCACAGAAATGTTACTAAGGTAGTAGGCTCCCAACATTTTCATGTGTTTTTTTCCTACTCTCTGGCATGTGTGTATCTTACCAAGACATCTGAGGTACCCAGTACTTCCTGCTCACCAAGTTCCATCAGCATAGAGTGGACCAGCTTGCAGTTGTGGGATGATGAGTCAATCAAAATCCTCACTGACTAAATTTGTGGCACAGAGAAGATAGAGCCCTGAAGCAAGACAATGAATGTTTGATGCTATCCCTGCTTGGAGAAACCACATTTTTCTAGTGTTGTATGTGTATTGTAATGAACGAAAAAAGCATTTTCGAGAATGATGACCACACTGATACACTCCTGTAAACACACCTGGAATAGCAGCTGTATTTAAAGTTTTCAAATGGAGAGACTTTCCATACTTGGATTGCATTTCAGACTCTTGAAAGATGAGCCTGGTGCATGGGGTCTGTTTAGGATGTGGGGCTTCACACCAGTACTACTTTATGGTCTTACTCTGTACTTACATTTTTTAGAGTTTTTCCTAACTTTCCCTTATGCTGTTTGTTGGCTGTCTTTCTTGTGTTGCTTTTACCCTTATAATTAGATGGAATTTACCATCTAATGATAAATGGTACAATGCTTATTGTGGAGTATTACAAAGTATTGAAATCTTATTTTTCTACATTTGTATTTGTTAGTTTGATTCACATTTTATAAATACAAAATACTTATTTAGATAAAAAAACCTGTTTTTTCTTAGATTTCACTGTACAGTTTTATTCAAAGTTATATGTATCTTTGACATCACTGTCTTTGTGATCTACAGCGCTGCTTTTGGATTCATTTAACAGTTTTTCAGAGCACGTCATCTTCCCATCCAGCCATAGTTAGCAATGATTTGTCATTTTTTTGAATCTGGACGAATTGTTATCAAAAGCTGTAAAAATATAAACTATAATAGGATAATGTATTCTTGAATAGACTATGAAGTAGGACAAAGAGAAGATTATGATACGATTTTAATTTTGTTTCTCTAAAATTCATTTTCAAATAGGCTGGGAGGAAATACATAAATATTAATATTGCTTGTGGTAGACCTGCAATTGATTTCTATGTTTTGGACTTTTCATATTCTTCATAATGTATACACTTCATTTTTATAATCTGAAAAATATTTTTAAGAGTTCATCCTAAGGGGTGGGGGCTGTGGTTCAGTGGCAGAGCACTTGCTGAGCGTGTATGAAGCATTGGGTTTGAACCTTAGCATCACATATAAAAATAAGCAAATAAAATAAAGGCATGCTGACCATCTACAAGTACAAAAAAAATAAATAAATAAATTTAAAAAAAAAGAGTTCATCCTAAGAATTTTAGGATGGCTTAACATTAGAAATTTATTAACAGATTATGGTATTATAACCATAGAACTTGATAGTCAGTTTTAACGTCAGAGAAATGGAAATGTCAGAGGAATTTCTAGAATGTTTGAGTGAGTAATAGAATCCAGGAAGCCTGTAGGTTGACAGAAATGGAAGAATGGGTTTGATTTTCAAGTAAGATGAGTTTATGTAGTCGTATAGGTAGAAATTGTTGGTGCATAGGTGATTGGAAATACAGGAAATTTGAGGCTCTGGAAATACACAAAAAAAATAGTCATATATATGTCTTTCCTCAATAAATTAACAACCTAGCTGGGACATTATAGATGAATAGTGTAAAATGTTAAAATGTTTTCATTCTGTAAGTATAGTGCAAAAAGGAAAGAGAAATTAATAAGGATATGCATATTTGGGGACCATTTTAGGAAACAGGTAGAATATGGAGAGATGGATAGATTGAGATTTAGATAGGTGTTCACCAGGGAAATACATAAATTAAAGCATATAATTGAAATAAATTGTCCAAGTGAAGTTTTTCAAGCTTTCAAAGAAATTGGTTGGCTAGTTTAGACGACTGGATTATCCTTGACCGAAGATTTAGCTTAATAAATATTTCTTATATCATGTTAGTAACCTAATACTTATTATCTATTTAATATGTGTCAGGCACTATTTCTAGTGCTTTCTATGAATTCATTTTATATAATCGTTTAAAAATCCTGTCAGGTATTATTTACTTATAGCCCTATTCTACAAGGAAATGGAGGCATGTAAAGGAACTTGCTCAAGTTAGTAAATGGTGAAGCGGTTATATTAAAAAGCAGTTTAGAATCTGTTTTTCCTAGCCGTCCTGCTAGATTGTGTTATTCTTACATTTATTTACAAATTCCAAAATAACATCAATAGTTTTAGTCATGTTCTGATCCTGTATTGATTCTCTTTCAGTATTTTATTCATAAAATTCCATACTCCCTCCACAGAGATTTGTATGAACTACCTGTAACTTCTCAATTTCCTAGTAATTCAGTGTCTGGTTTTTGTTTTTTTTTTTTAAGTCAAGTGATGACAATATTTCCAAGTTACAGAAAATCTGTGTTTAATTTCAAGTGTAAATTTTCTCTTGGGTATTACATAAGTTGTTTAAAAAAAAAACTTTTAACATGTAATGACACCCTTCCTCATGACCCTTATAAGTGCTACTAACCCATCAGGGTTCCCTACAAGTATTTTTATTAACCCTTTCATACATTTCATGACAAAAATGTGTAGAATTTTGATAATTCATGGAGTCACAGTGCTACCATGGAGAAGTAAAGAAGAAAAGCAGTGCTTTACAGATGGTAAATAGAGTTGAAATATTAGCTTTTCAGAAGTATAAGAAGGTTAAGCCAAAACTACTTCATAGGATTAATTTTATGGTTTCAGGTATAAGAAATAAGGATTTTGCTTTCATTTACTCTGACTTCCAGGAGTCATTATTAACTCTATACTTTGAGAAGTAGTTACTTAAACTTTCAGTATTCTGTTTCTTAGAATCTTAAATGACCTAATAATCATTGTCATCAAAGTGTTGGGGAAATAACACAAAGCTTATAAAACGTTTATAAGAAATGTTAAAACCTTTTTTATGCCCCCCCTTTTTCTTTTGAGGAAAAGTTAATCATGTATTTTCAACTGATTGCTATATGTTGCTGTGTATTTTCAGCAATAGTTTTGTTTGTTATTGTGTTCTACTTTAGAATTTAATATATAGAAGTTCATTTTGTGTCTAGAGGAAAGTTTATTGCCAGAGTACTAAAACAGCCCTGTAAAATTTCCATGATGATTTGGTAACATCCATATTTCCTTGGGTGGATCTGAGGAGTGTAAAGCTGCTAACATTGTTATGTTGAAGTTATTCAAGTATAAAGCCAACTGGAAAAATTAAAAGTGCAATACTTGTCTGGTTCTATGATGATTTGGTCATATTGACTTTGAGGAGATATCTTATAAACATGCATATACTCTTAAGGTAGTATTTGTATTCATTTGACATCTTGAAAAAAAATGGCAGCCATTTTTAAGTCTACTTAACTACTTTTTAGAAATTTTTACTTACTGCGAGTGTAAACAGACATCATGAGTAAAAAGCTAAAATAATTTAAATGATTATTTTTACTAGTATGATACTGGCTTCATTGCTTTACCAGTAGATAATTTTCTTAAATTGGTAAATGTCACCATTTTAACATATCGTCTTAAGTCTTTAAGTGTGCCAAGTGCAGTTTATTGAGGTTTTGCTTTCTTTTCCATCGTTTGAATAGAAAAGATTCTGTTCTCTGAGTAAATCAGGTCTTTTACTTTAACCTTAATATGACCACTTGTCTCGATTTGCCTGGGACTGTGGGCATTTACAGATGCAAGACTTTTTGACTTTAAACTGGCCTTTCTACATTAGCTTCATTATCTGAAAGAAAACTTTCTGTGAATTTTGGAAGCTATTTCTAGTCTAGCAGCTATTATCCCTTTTCATTTGCCCTTTTACCATACACACTGCTTTGGTAATATGAATTACCTTTAAAGAGAATAATTTTATATTTTCTTCACAGGAAGAAACAAAATATTTAGCATTCATGATTTCATATATATGTATATGTGTGTATATATATACGTATACACACACATATATATGTATTCTTTTTTTTTTTTTTTTCAGGTATGTTGAGTCGATGGGATGATAGTCAGAGGTTTTTGTCTGACCATCCATACCTTGTATGTGAAGAAACTGCTAAATATCTTATTCTATGGTGTTTTCACCTAGAAGCTGAGCAGGTATTGTGTGAATCTTAAAATTTCAGTGTGTTACTTGGTCATGTTGACTTTGTGGGAAATGTTAGTGGAATTCTGATTTCTTACTTGGTGTTTTGTTTATTATGTTATTTACTTTCAATGAAAGCAAGAAGGTCATTAGAATTCTAATTGTTTTTGTTTTCAGACCTACTTGAGTTTAATGTGGGAACTTAAAATAATTGTGAGCGTATGTAAACTTTTCTGGTGTGTTCTCTGCCGCCTCTCAACTGCTTTTGTTCCTATATCCTTTTTCTTTTCTAATTAGAAAGTGATGTTTTAAAAAATCCAAATGGTAATCACATTTTAAGTCAGACCAATGCATGGTCCCCTTTAATAATTCTGGTCACATAAAAATAGTAAAGAATTGAGATATACTCTTTATATGTCCACATAGTATTTGACTTATAACTAAAAAGAACAAAATCAGAAGTAACCCAATTAAATATGTTCTAGAGGTTTCTTATAATTTTATTTATTTTCAGAAAGGGGCTCTAATGGAACAAATAGCACATCAAGCTGTTGTAATGCAATTTATTATGGAAATGGCCAAAAACTGTAATGTGGATCCAAGAGGGTGTTTTCGTTTATTTTTCCAAAAAGCCAAAGTAAGTATTTTTTGTTGTTGTTGCTGTTTTAAGGGTGTGCCTCCCCCACACGCTATACTAAGGATTGATTGAACTGAGGATCTTGTGCAAGTGTTCAACTACTGTGCTATTTCCCCAACCCAGTTATTTTGTATTGTTAAATGGGAAGGTTAGGTCATAGCTGAGACCCCTTTGTTCTGTACACATCAGGAGAAACCGTTTAACCAGAAGGCCACAGACTAATTGAGTCTTAAAGGAGCTATTCTTATATAATCTTTTATGTATTCATACATACTTTCTTATGACTTATACTATAGCATTTATATGAAATTGAGATCCATTCAAATGAATGTGTATATTTGGATAGTTTATCATTTATCCATTCAGTAACTATTGAGTACCTGCTAATGGAAAGCAAAACCATTTCAGAAGTGGAAGATATAGGATATTCACAGTTTAATAAGAAATCAGACTTTGTAATAGAAAAATAAGAAACAACCCAAAAATTCAATAGTTAGAGGAATGGTTAAAAAAAAAAAAGACCTGTAGTGTACATAGATTTATGCAGCCATTAGTTATTTATGGAACATTTTTAATGCTCTAAGAAATGTTTATGCTGTAAGTTTAGAGGAAGTGGTACATGTTTATATAAACACAAAAAATGTTGGCTATGTCACAAAAAAATAGATAATGTCTGCAAAGCTTACCATTTCACTAGATGAGTAAAAATTTGAAAGTTGCCCAAGAAGTAGAACAGTTAGGACTTGAATTCACTGCTAGTGGGAATATAAATTCTAATAACCATTTGGGAAATTTTTCTAGTAAAATTGAACAATCACATATGTGAATACCCAAAAATTCTTTTAGGTTTATACCCTAGAGAATATGTTATCAACATGTAGTTGAGGGACCTCTGAGAGTCTTTAAAACCTTTTCAGGCGGGCCTTGATTAGAAGTATTTTCATGATAATATTGATGGTATTTGCTATTTTATTCTTATTCTCTCACAAGTGTACAATTGAAATTGATCCCAAAGCAGATGTGATAATCTGTCTTCTGTTAAGGTAGACCTTAGAGAGGTTTGCAGAAATTAAAAATGGCACTAAATTAGTTTTGGAGAATAAAATTTTCACATGCTTTTTTTTTTAAGACAGGTTCTCACTTTGTTATCCAGGTAGATCTCAAACTCTTGAGATCAAGCAATTATCTTTTCTTAGTCTCTCAAGTAGCTGGGACTACCAGCATATGCCACTATGCCTAACACAAATAGTCTTTTAAAATAAAAATGTTATTAATGGTAGTATGTAATGAGTTTTTTACTACTATTTTTATTTTCCTTGATTCCTCACTTTTAATTTCTAACAGCAATATTAACAAATATAACCCACACAATTACAGGTCCTCAGTAATTTTCAAGTGTTAAAGAGTCCTAAGCTCCAAAGTTTGACTTAGTGCAACTCTTATACCTATACACTAGATGCCAAAATATGTAGCTTTGTTCATAATAACAAAAAGCCTGAGAACAACTCAAATGTCTGACAACAATAGAATGAATAAACTATGCTATATTCATTTGGTAAAATACTAACCAATATCAGTATGGATGAAAAAGCTGGGAAATGAATAAAATAAAATATGGAGTGATATAACCAGTATCAGTTTTTAAAATATATTTTGATAAAGATCATATATTTAAATATTCTGTATTTTATAAAATATTTTTATAGCAGGCAGAGGTAAGCAATATGTAGTTGAGGGATATGTGTATAAGCAGTAAAATTAAAGAAGCAAAGGACCGAGTCTAATGATAACTTAGGTAGGGAGGAAAATTTCTCTTCAGAACTGGTTTATAAAGTACTAGTAGTGATCTATTTCCTAATTTTTATGGGTACAAGGTTGTATTTTTGCTGAATAAACTACACATGTGTATCTTACATGCTCTTTTGCACACAGGATATGTTTCAGCATGTAAAATTAGAAGTTCAAAAGAAATATACCAAAAGGTGTTTTGGGGAGATGGGGGGAGTGCTGGGGGTGGAACTTAAGACCCTGGCAAGCGCTTCACCATTAAGCTACAACCCCAGTCCTCTATTTTTTAATATTTAAAAAAACCTACAAAGGTGGCAACAGTTCTACCTTAAAATACCCTAAAACCCTTGTGATGTAGAGTTTTGATGAGTTGGTGTTTTAGCTAGGTTTATGGTGACTTTTCTAAATTTTTATATGGCACATAGGAGCTTTTTTTTTTTTTTTCATCTTGTATTAATGGATGTATTTAAACTGGTGATTAATATGATAATGGAACATGTCCACACTGTGTACATTCTTTGAAAATTTAACAAAGTAGAACTGAAAGGCACTGAAGTCTTCGGTCTTGCATTGTATTTTTAATATATTTTTTAATTAAACAATAATATTCATAAGATGCTTACTTTGTGCAAGGCACTTTATATGGATTAACTTATAAATCTTTGTCATGTTTTATGAGGATTTCTGTTCTTATATTGTAGATAAGGAAACCTGTATAAAGAAATCAAGCACTGTGCACGGTGGTGCATGCCTGTAATCCCAGTGGCTTGGGAGGCTGAGATAGGAAGATCGCGAGTTCAAAGCCAGCCTCAGCAAAAGCAAGGCGCTGAACAACTCAGTGAGACCCTGTCTCTAAATAAAATACAAAATAGGGCTGGTGATATGGCTCAGTGGTCAGTTGCCCCGGGGTCCTCTATTTTATGCATTGAATCTCTTCTATCTCCTATCTCAACCCCCAATACCCTGCCACCAAAAAAAAAAAGAAAAGAAAAGAAATTAAGCAAGTGGCCTATATGGATTACTTAATAAAACAAAGTCAAATCACTCTAGACCTGAATCCCCAGGCCTTACGCACAGGGCTAACATTCTGTTTGTCCACATGACTCCCATATATTAACTAAAGTAAAGGTGCTAAAATGTGATTAAGGAAATTATTATGAAATTTATGAAGATGGGAAGGCAGTAGAATACTGTTTGCATTATTTGTATGCTGATGCTAATGACTAATTTAAAGAGGTTTTAACCTGGTTATATAACCTAAACTTCATTTGATAAGCTCTCTTCCACCACTTGAACATAAAGCCAGCATTCTGTTGATATAGAATATGTTACATGTCATCATAAGTCATTGTATTTTTTTCTTTCCATAATGTTGGGAGAAAAAGATGTACCTGTTTAACTAAAAACACAAAGGTGTTCTCCTAATGAAGTAGAATGTTGAGTTTTATTTGGTTTTCATAGAGAATAAAGGGTTAGAAAATTATTAGAAGTAGGCAATAGTTCCCCCTCATTAATTTAAATCTTTTTAAAGAATATCCTGTGACGGTTTGGCAATGGTAAGAGAATGGAATGAATGTGAAAGGTGAAATGAGGATTTTGGGGTCCTGTTAAAGATCCAGATAAATCAAGAGAGATAAGAGAAAACCTGTTTTACTTTTGTGTGTTCCTATTAGCTTGTTTTATTTTGCTGAAGCAGTAAGAAATGGAACAAATTAGTCATTAATGTTCCTATAAAACAAGTAGATGTCACAGATCTGAAGAGGCCATAATGGTTTCTACATTTAGACTGTTCACCTTTTCTTTATTTCCTCAACCAGCTGTATTGTAAGCTTTTTAGAATTTACTCTGGTTTTGAAAAACAGTCTGTTTTATGTGTTCTAGGCAGAGGAAGAAGGTTATTTTGAAGCATTCAAAAATGAACTTGAAGCTTTCAAGTCAAGAGTAAGACTTTATTCTCAATCACAAAGTTTTCAACCTATGACAGTTCCTAATCATGTTCCCCATTCTGGTGTTGGATCTATAGGTTTATTAGAATCCTTACCACAGGTAAGTTAGAGAAGTTAATATTTATTTTGTAAACATATTAAATCATAGTTTTTGTTATTTTGGAGTATCTTATATGTGATACACGTGTGACTGTTTTGAATATTCTTGCCTCAAAAGGTAATCCTTAGTCCTATTTTATGCATTGAATCTCTTCTATCTCTTTTCTTAAATGGATTAGCTTCAGAGCATGCATGAAAGTGGTAATCAAGGTAGTCTGCTACATGGGTTTATATAATACCATCTCTAGTGGTGGTGTTGCCTATCAGATGTAACACTTAGTTCACATTAATATAGCTTATAATATTGTGTCTGGTAGTATCAGCAACTACTTAAATCAATCTTTAGATCAAGATAAAAACCATGTCAACAGCATCAGAGACTTTATAGCAAAAAGAAGAAGGAATCAGACCACTCATCTAGCTGATACTATTTAAAACTCAGTTTTAAATTATTGGTAGATAGTTCCTTCCCATTTGATTGTAGTGGAAGCATCTTAGTCCAATCAACTCTCATTTCCATGTGCAAGGATTTTAAAGACCAGTTTATTCTGTTGCCTGCATTGTGAGATGGAAAGTCTCATTTAGTAGACAAGATGAGGAGAGTCCTAGATTTATTTTTAAAATTCATAAGGTGATAAAAGATTGAGATATTTCAGTGTCTTGACTTTATGTCACTATAATTTCACCATTCCAGTCACATGTATTGTAGGCTGTATAAGGAAAGCAATTGATCATATTCAACTCAAAAATATCATTTTCGAGGATGGAAATCATCAAGTTCTGATTTTTAAACAATAGTACCCCCCCAAACTTGTAAGAAACATTACCTCTAAAGATTTCCTATATAATATCAAATCTTAAATGGTATTTAAATACAATGGTGAATTTCACTTCCTGAGATATAGCCCATAGGGAACTAGTTTTTCCAAGGGAATTTTATGACTTAAGTCACTGTCATATCCAATATATAAACCTCCTAAAATTAAAATGTTACATGATTCATGTGGAGAAATAAAGAGACTTTGAAGGTGTTTGATTCAGTAAAGTATCAAAAAGTTGCGTCTGGAAAGGGGGAAGTAAGTTTTTGGTAAATATAACAGATAGTAACTGATAATAACTGCAAGGCATCCATTATACTTATTTGGCCTGTGGGGGGGGGGGGGCTAGACTCATGATTCTGACTTAATTGCTAACATTATCAGGGTTGCTTAGACTTAATCTGGCTAACAGAGCAGTTCCTCATAGAGTGAGAATTTTAGTATCCTAACCTAATCTGCCTGAGGAAGAGGAGAGCTTTAAGATTTCAGCTAGATGCGCAGTATTGTGGACTGGCTGAGGGAAACAGGATGGGGGGCCACTTGAGGGACCAAGTTGTCAATTTAGAGGAAGTTGGAAAGAAAATCTTGCCACAATAATATTCCTTTTTATATCAGTTTACAGGTTACAAAACACTTTCATGTGTTTTATTGTTTAATCTTCTCAAAAATACTATGGTTCATTTTCATTCATTTTTATGGATAAGTAAACTGAAACTTAGGTTAAATAATTTGCCTGAAGTCAGTTGAAGTGTGTGATAGAGCTAATATTCTAATCCTGAATTTCCTGCTTCACCGCCTATTCACCTGCATTACAGACTGTTGAGTAATGCACTACAAATAGTGCAAGATAATCCTGTGCTTTTAGAAGACACTTGTCACCGAGATAAGAAAATTTTTGAGATGAGAATATGAGCCAACCAGTGTAATTTAAGCAAAGTCAGGTTAGGCATATCAATTGCTTTTTGTTTTTTCAAAGTGGAAGACATGATAGCCTCAAGACAAATGAGTTCTGGAGAATCTCCTTAGCCAGTTCTCAGAATACAGGGTAGAGGCAGGATTAGAACTGAAGTTCACGATGAATGTCCCAGACCTCAGTCAGTTATTGGTGTCACTTCTTTCATAAAGACCTGCTGGGGAATAATTTATCTAGCTTTTTGGCTTAAAAAAAAAAAAAAGAAGAAAAAAAACTTCATATAGTATTATACTTTATTAAGAAGTTTTTGAAAACCCTTTCTCCTTAAGGTATGGGAAGGTTTAAAACATCTGTGCCATTTGGACTTTCCTCACTGGTGTTTGTTAAATAAAAATAAATTAAACTAGGTGATGACAATATTTGTAAAAGTATCTAGTAGATATTTAGAATGACTGGGCAGACCAAATTGAATTCTGGGGAAAAATTTTCCTGAAATCCTGGATCTTAAGGCCTTATTTCCTTAATAGTAGTGCTTTAACAAATCATGGTTTTATTTTTGCATATACTGGACAAGGTTTTGGTTTTTTAATCTTAGTTTTAGAAATGGGCAAACATAACATTTATGAATTATCTTTCTATTTAAAGAATAAATAAAATCTCAGTTGTTCTTTTATTTTTTTTAAAATATGGGTCTGTGTACTTCAGATTTTTTATTCAAGCTTATTTTACTCAGTAAGTGGATTTTTCCTCTGTTAAGATGTTTTGCATTTTTAGCATTTACTGCTATAATTAGATAGTAATCTTCAAAATTCATTGCTGCCTTCAAGCTACATTTATTACTTAAATTATCAATAAGTGTATACATCTATTACATAGATTAGCTACATACATGGCCTAGTATGAATAACTAAAATGATAGTTTTGTTAAAAGGATAAGAAAAGGTGATGTCTGTTACATTTCTGTTTACACATATTCTGTCTTTATCACATCTCTTTGGGTTAAGCAAATAATAGCCTACTTTTTATTTATTTTTCCAGTTTTAGCTGGTCTGACTCCAAAGTCTATCTTCTTTCCTACTTTGTTATACTGTAGAGAATTAGGATGTGAAAATGCATATGTGATTATGTGTACTGGCATAAAACTGGTTATTATATATTCTTTTTTTTTCTTCCTTCCCCAGAATCCAGATTATCTTCAGTATTCTATCAATACAGCTCTCTGCAGTTTAAATTCAGTGGTACATAAAGAAGATGATGAACCCAAAATGATGGACACTGTATAATTTGGTTAAGACTGCTGAGGCCAAGTGCTATTTTGTTACAAGAAAGGAAGAACTTGGCTATTTTTCTTGACACTTTTATGGGTGCTGCACTTTATTTTTGTTCGGTTTTTGAGGGAGGGAAAAAAGAGTACTGAAACGTTTTGTAACTTTTTTTATGTGCTGCTAGGTTTTTTGTTTTGTTTTGTTTTGTTTTTGAAAGGAGAAGTGGTACCATATGTTGCAGGAAGTCAAACTGAACTCTTTTTTTCCCCCTGGGTTGGCTACTAAATTTGCCTTTAACCTAATTCTCAATTTTGGAATCAAAGTATGAAAATCTGCACAAATGCAATGTTTACAAGAACTGGCTGATTCTAGGAGGCATCTGCTACATAGTCTCTTTTTATATGGATATGGATATGTCCTATTCTACAAAAATAATTAAAGATAAAAATGTACTTGTATCCCACTGCTAACTTAGCTGTCAAATCTGGTGTTTCATCATATTAAAAGCAATAAATCAGTAGTCGCTAATCTACTTTACTAATAAGCTGGGTGGCACAAATTTTTAAAAGTCGTTCCTTTTAAAATAATAATATGTATTTTCGGCACCATCAGTTAAATCCTTGACTCTGTTACCCCTCAGTGTATTCTCAAAGCTGTTCTTTAGAAGTTGATTTTACTGTTGACTTTCTAAATACTAAAGATTGTAGTGATGAGCTCATATAGGGCTTTGTTTTTTTAAAACAAGATAGACTACAAGCTTACTCAATTTCTTTACTTGACGTAGTCTGGGATCTCTCAGGGACTAAGTTTTAAAAGAATACTAATGACCTGTAAGAACAAACTGGAAGAACAATAATGATAAATCTTGTAGAGCTAACTTTCTTAAGCTGCCAACTACTCATATCTAAGAATTTGGTAACCCTTAATGCTAATAATGGCTTTTACTCCACTTGTTATTCCTCTCTAGTTTAGCTACCATAGAATGTTATTCTTACTACTTCTTGCATAATTCACTTCAAATGTACTAGAATATTTGGTGGCTTGTTTTATTTAGATTAGATGACAGTGCTGATCATGCTGTCCTTATTATTTGAAAATTTATCTTCTCACAGGAACATGAGCTTTGATTGTATTTGAGTATAGTCTTTGGTACCCATTAAGACCAGTAGCAAACATTTGGACGCAAACATGGAATTGGGAATACATGTCTCAATTCAAGAAACCAAATAATGCTAAAGGATCCATATGGGGATCAGATCTGTAACCTTGGCCTCATTTGTATCTTGTTTTAACTGAGGTGATTAGGCACTAGTACCCATAGAAACAGGCTGGAATTATTGAATCCTACTTCTGTAATGTCACAATTTTCCTGTTTTTCAGAATAAGTCTTTTTTGTGCTTTTGATATTATTATATACTCTATAATAAAATGTTTGACTAATTTATATGGTAGTATTCATCAGCCTGTAATTTTTTAAACCAATGACCTAGTCATAGAAAGTTTTCTTTTCTTCTGGAGTGTGCTGTCATCTTTCCCTTTGTCCTAATTGGAGAGAATGGACACAAAAATATACTACTCCCGTTTCCCAGAAATGTTATATGAACCATTATTTACCACTTCTTCAACTTCACTTTTCCCCTGAACTTGCCTGTAGTCATCCAAATTGTTTTGACTTTCATTTTGTCTTCTTCCAAGTTAGAGCTATTAATGGCTCTGGCTGACAGAGCCATTAATAGAAGAATGGCAAGACAGAAAGAATCCACAAATTGAGTAAACTATTTCTGAAAGGTTTTTTTTTTTTTTTTAATGACAGGAATTACCTCAGAACTATTCTGTGAAATGTGACTATTTTTTTAATATGATTCTTTTTTTTTAATAACTTTATTTTGTTTCTATGTGGTGCTGAGAATTGAACCCAGTGCCTCACGCATGCTAGGCAAGCGCGCTACCACTTACTTGAGCCACATCCCCAGCCTGACTATTTGTATTTTTTAACTATCAAAAGGAAGTGATAACTTTTAAGTATAGAAAAGTGTGATTTATTCGAGAGGGGGCGATAATTTGCATGTTAAGACTATAACTTTTATATAATTAGTAATTTAGTACTAAGAACAGTAAATTGACATCTTGTTTTTTTTTTTTCATTTCAAAAATGTCCTCTTTAATACTGAGAACTAACTCCTATCGAAATAAATGTACTCTTTTCTGTTTCTTAAGTAATGAGAGATATACTAAACAAAGGGATAATTATATTTGAAGTTGAACAATTTTCCCTAAACAGGCTAAGCCATGGAAAACCCAATCTGAGGAATGAAACATTTTTGACATTAAAATATTCAACAGAATCCTGTTTTACTTGATAAAATTAATCTTCTAATAAAATATTTTTTAAAAGGATGAAATAGCTATCATTCCATTTATTCTGGCAATTATTATGTCAATAGTGATGAAGACAATACTGGTTTTAAATTATTGCTCTAAGATAGATGGCTAGCATTCTTTTCCAGTAATACCATTAGTGGGCTCTTTCAAATTGTTGCCTAATGGGCTCACAATCTAAAAAAAAAATAATAAAATTCTTTTTTTTTTTTAAGGAAAATCAGGCTCTTTTCTTTCAGAGTAGCATTCATATTATCCTTTAAAAATAAATTAACATGTTATCTATAGATTAGTGGACTTTCTTACAGGATGGAAAAAAAACTAGTTTTAAGTTTGTTTAGGAAAGGTATTTGGGAAATAATTCTTGGTGTATTTTCAGAAAAAAAAAATGTCAATTTACTATGCTTAAACTCAGGTATTTCAGTTCTAAATTCATGTGGGACAGAAATAGTATTTGTCTGGTTTGAGGTTAGATTTCCCATTTCAATTTTGCTACTATGTCATACACATTTAAAGACCCTAAAATCCTATGCATCTGTTCCCATCTGTAATGACCATGCGGATACTATTTCAGAGGTCTTCTGAGAAGCTGAGTCATCTAGTAAGTATTTGTTTACTTACTATGTAAGTGAATTGAGGGAGTACACAGAAATAAGTTGTTCATGGATTGCTTAAAATCTAATAATGAAGTTGAAAATATTCTTATAACCCTTGAAGAATTAGATTGAAGTTTTGTCTTTTCTAAATAGAAAAAATGATTTTTAAAATTCCCACATCATTCACTTTTGTTTTTGGTGGTACTAGGGATTGAACCTGGGGCCTGTGCTTGCCTACCAAGTGCTCTATCACTGAGCTACATAATTAGCACTGCTCCCACAATTTTTTCTCAATTTTTAATTTGCAACAGGGTCTCAGTTGCCCAAACTGGCCTTCAGCTTGTGATCTTCCTGTCTCAGCCCCCCAAGTATGTGTCATTTTGCCTGGTTCACTTGGTTCTTTGAGCAGTATGATTCTGTTCACTCTTCAGACAGTTAACTTGAATCATTTGGGAAAATATGACACAACACTGTACTGATTAACACTTTGGCCTTAACATTTAGTTTTACTCAGTGCTACATATGGACAAACTCCCGATCATTTGGAAGCTAAAAAGGAGGGAAAGAGGTGAGTAGACACTACAGATCATACGGCTTTTATTAGTTTTTAAGCACAGCTAGATTATTTTAACCTTAATTTTTTTTTTTAAACCATAACTTCCAGGATGAAAATCTTTAATTGCAAGGACAGGAAAGCTATTTCTGCAGTTTATCAGTGAGGATGTTTTCTTTTATCAATGAGAAGACGTAGTTTATAAGTAAGTTTTAAAATTATTCTTGTTGCTTGTATTACAGCAATTTAATATAATCTGAGGTCTGTAATTGCAATGATTTGATGTTAATATGAGACATTTTATTCCAAACCATGAGTGTCCAAAATATTTTGCTAAGATGCCATTGTATGTGGCTGGAGCAGGCAAAAGTAGCCATAGGCTTGGTTTTAGTAATTTAAACAATAATTAACCTATTTGAGGTGGAACTGAGAACTAAATTAAAATTTCTGGATGGTGCTAATTGCCTTTATGCATGTCCCATTTCATACTGACTTTCCAGAAAGGAGCGTGGTTTGAGGTACTGTTCTACTCATCTTTTAATCTCAAGTGTAGTATCTCCTCCTAAACCATGCATTCAGCTCCAGACATATTTCCATGTGGTACATGAATTGTTATAATGGTCATCACAGTATGATTTTTTTTTCCCCCTGCAGGAGGCACTTAGCAACAATACCCTTAATCAGCATTGTCTGTGACATTAGCTCATCCAGCAGAAAACAAGTTCTTTTTGCTTGTTTTAATTAAAAAAAAATCATACATATTTCCCATAAATAATGCATGCATGTGCAAAACTTTGGTTAAGTGTTTAGTAGTGAGGAAGGAATGGTCACAGAAGACAGTCTTAATTTTCATAGTATATTCTTTAATTCTTGTTGATTTCCAGATCTAAGGTTGTCATAAAAGCCAGTGTGGCTACCGTACTGTATAGCAGGGGATAAAGAATTGTATAAAATCAGCTTTAAAACCTGTTTTAAGACAATTTATTAGTACAAAGGCAATGAGATGGCAGGGTAGCAAAAAGGAAGGTGGGGTGGGGTGGCCCTTGTGAAGGACCAAAGACAAAGTAAGTAATAGCTACAGTGCTGAAATTTCATTACATTCTAATAAGGACTGTATGCCTGATAACCAAGTGGTAATTCCTAAGTTTAGTAGTTTTGCAACATTTTTAGGAAACACGTAATATTAACATGTTTTTAATAAGGCATTGTAAGAGTGATAATGATTACTGTAATCCTTTTAAAAAGCCTTGGTCCATTTCAAAAGATCAACAATAAATTTTTAAAAATCAAGAGGAAAGAAAAATAAGTTGTATGCCCCACCCCAAATACATAAGAACCACTTGCTGGCATTTGTTTTGTATTTTAAAGGCCTTGGAATAAGATGGGCCAGATTTTCAAAGGCAATTAATAGCTTGTACAAGGACTTGATTCATTTGATTTTAGCACCAAGGAAAATAAGAGTCAGTATCCCATGGAAGACACAGTGGGTTTTTCCTCCACCTCTCAAATTGCACAACTTTTACCAGGCCAGGATATATAAGCATGCATCCTTGTTGCCCTGCTAGGAGTCTAAAATGATTTTAAGTTTTAAAATGGCTGCTCAGATGACACCAGCAGAGTTCTTTCCCTTTAAGACAGGATGGCAATGAACACTATTAAGTATCAATTTCTTTGATCAAAAACAAAAATCTCTTTTAAGGAATAGTTACTTTCCTGGTCCTTCTTAACCTGTCTTGTAAATTCTCTACTGCAATATGTGTTTGCCAGTTATGTTAGTGTTCCTCAAGAGAACATCCTCCAGGTATGCCTGATCTATTTCTATTTCCTTAATGGTAAAGTATGCCTACTTTACATAGTACCATGGGTTTCCTCTTTTCTTTATTTTTTCTTTTTGCTATAACTTGTTTATCAAGGCAGAGTGTATGTTTAGATCAAGAAAAAACTGACAAGTATATCTTAAAACATACATTTCTTAACCTGAGTAACATCTGAAAACCTAAGATTTTATTACATTTTCCACTGAAGTCAGTGTTGGTGCTTACCTAAGAACGTACAATGTCAATTTTGACACAAATCATGTCCCTCAGTACACATGTATTTTTCAAAAGAAAATAAGTCGTATTAAAGTAATATTTTCTTATACGCTGACATTTTTATAGCAAATTGAAAATTCTGAGTAAACAAGGTATTTCTAATGACAAAATAAATACAGTATATGTAGGTAGCTTACATGTTTCTTAGTGTAAAGGCAGCAGTGAATTTGCATCTTGCAACGGATCTGTAAATCTAGTTGCTTTTTTCATGGAATTTCATATAGTGTCTTACCATACCATGTTCCACAGGCTAGAAAACATTTTTTGGCATCAGTATATGCAGAAGCCTCTGATGAGCTATTTTCCCCAAATGACATGTATTTTTCCAACTTTCCCAGAAAAATACAAAAATTTTATCAACCACTTTTACTGAACAAAAATGTTACTACTAATTGCTCTTTTAATTTTTACTTTAACAAATTCTTTAAAAAGTTTTGATATCTGATGTTTTTGAATTGCACACTCATAGAATATAATTGGATAAAATATACTAGATGATTTCAAAAGATCAATCTTAGTATCTGAATCATTTGGCACATCCTTAATAATATCCACAATAAAATCAGTAGAAATAAAACAATTTTCAAAGAATTCATACATGCTGGAATCTTAGTAAAAGGAGCTGCTAATGCAAAGATGAGGAGGTTCTGCTCATCTTACTAGTTACACGCTTTTCTCCTCATGGAGTAACTGAGGCTTTCTGGTTTGTTTGTGGAACTTTTGTTTGTAGGAAAGCATAAACATAGGGCCAAATCTTGTTGGTTTCCGTTCCAGAAAATGTTTCCAACACCCCTTTTTTCCTAAAGGAAAAACAAAACAAAAATGAAAAACACAGGTCTCAATCTTCCTAATAAGGTTTTCAAAGCTTTTCTGTAAAACATGACAGTATAGATTTAGGAGTCTCATAAGTATAGATCTAGGTGACTAAGAGAAAGAATTTGGCTAGGCACTGGAGAGCCTACATTTTAGGTTTTTGTTTTTTTTTTTTTTTTCTTTAGAGAGAGAGAGAATTTTTTTGATATTTATTTTTTAGTTATCGTCGAACACAACATCTTTGTTTGTATGTGGTGCTGAGAGTCGAACCCAGGCCGCACGCATGCCAGGCGAGCGCGCTACCGCTTGAGCCACATCCCCAGCCCAAGCCTACATTTTAGTTTCAGCTTTGCCCCATAGCATACAGAAATGGGCATTTACAAAATAATAGCAGCTGTCATTATTGACTGTGTACTGTGTGTTAAAACCTCTGTTAAATGCTTTATAGCTAATTCATTCAGTAATTTCCAAAACTCAAATTTTCTTACTCTGCTGACAAAATTGTCTCTTATAAAGTGACTTAATCCAGATCACTAAGTTGGTAATAGATTTCCAAACGGGGACCGTCAGACACCAGAATAGCCATTGGCTTTTTTTGTTCATTAAAGTCTTTTGCAAAAAGACCTTTCCAGCGGCTGGGGATGTGGCTCAAGCGGTAACGTGCTCGCCTGGCATGCTTGGGAGCGCTGGGTTCGATCCTCAGCACCACATAAAAATAAAGATGTTGTGTCCACCGAAAACTGCAAAAGAAATATTAAAAAATTCTCTCTCTCTCTCTCTCTCTCTCCTTGGAGCTTTCCAATACTGGATTATCTCTCATTTTGCTGAGTTTTATTTTTTTCCTCTACGCTACCCTTGTGAACTTTAACAGAAAGGGGAATAGAAAGTTTAAGTTTTATTGTTTTTCTTATTTTCTTCATTTCTCTCCTGGAAAGATTTGTCTTTCTTGTACCGGATCAGCAGTGAAGAGTAAGAAGCAGAATCCTGCGACTGCTTCAACCCATAGATATTAGTCCAGAGAGTGTGACACTCTTGCTAATATCCCTTTACCAATCCATGCATACTCATGTATACACACTGGCTCAAAGGTTGCAAAAAAGCAAATGAAAAACTCCCTGATACCTCTGTTAAACCCTCTTACTAGGTTTTCAGAGTTCTTGAAACCTCATAAGATTATGATAGTTAACATTTTTTTTTTTTGGTAAGAAATATTTGCTACCAGAGAAATTATATTCAAACAGTATTCTTTGCATATTAGAAGTCTTAAGCTTCTAAATTCACAGGAATTTAGTAGCTTTCAAGAGAATAACTTTCTTAATGGTATAAGCCTCATGAAGGCCTACTTTAAAAATCAAGCCACAATGTCACAAGTGGGTTAATTGCTGAGAGCACAACTAAAGGTACCTATTCAATCCTAAAGCTGTTACCTTGGATGAACATTTGTCATTTTTTGTGAAATAAAATGGAACCAGTTCAAAAAAATTAGTCCTCCAAAGAGTAAGAGCATCCTGCTATTTTTAAACATAGGCTAATTACTCTATAAATGTCCCATGGCTGAAAGGAGTTTTAAAATACAATAACAACTGTGGGCATTTTAATATAACAATGTTGTAACTGAAGTCCTTATGGTACCACTTTCAATTTTTAGTGAAATCCAACTTTAGTTTTATGTGTGAGAACTCAGAAGGAGAAGCTTGAATTAACAGCAAGAGGTAGCAAAAGCCAGAAGTCTTGAAAGAAAAACTAGTATCTCTGGAGTGGGGGGATTGAATCCAGGGGTACTTTACCACTGAGACACATCTCTAACCTTTTATTTTTTTCAATTTTGAGAGGAGGTCTCCTTAAGTTGCTTAGGGTCTTGCTAAGTTGTTGAGGCTTGCCTTGGCGGACTCGATCCTGCCTCAGCTTGCCAAGTCACTGGGATTATAGGTGTACCACTACTGGCACTAGGATCTCTCAAGATAAGGACCTGCTTCATTCATTTCTGTAAGATTTCCTCATTTTGGCATAACTAATCCCAGTAGGACTAGTTCTCTATTCAGAGCCTTACAGTAATGTTACCTGCCCAACAACAGTAATAATCTCCCCAACCAAAGTCCATGAGGTTCAGGTGAGACTGAACCTCATTTCCCATATTCAAGAATGACGAAGTCACAGTAATCTCTGCCAATCACAAGATTTTTGCTGGCAAAAAAAAGGCTCTTTTCTGCTGGGGTAATTGAACTGGTAGGAGATAAGCTAGAGTACAGAGGGAGCCGGATGTTTCTTCAACACCTGGACCCAGCCATCTACTTACCTTTAGACTTTTTAGGTATATGACCAATAAATTCTGTTTTTTTTTTTCAATATTTTTTTAGTTGTTGATGGAACTTTATTTCATTTATTTATATGCAGGGCTAAGAATTGAACCCAGTGCCTCGGACATGTTAGGCAAGCACTCTACCACTAAGATACAACCCCAGCCCCAAATTCTGCTTAAGTCAGTGTGGATTAGGTTACTGTACCACATCGAATGATAAACAGTGCTTTCAGCTTTCCACTTCACCCATATACAGAAGGTGAGCTGCTTGGGGCCTGACAGGAACTGAATCTATTTGTGTGGACCAAGGGCCTGACCCAGTGTCAACAGAGTAAATAATAATCACTGACACTGGGTGATTTAGTAATAGACACCAAATTTGCTTTGAGTCTTTTCACATATCCTCTTCATTCCCTTAAGCCTATATAGTGGTATTATTTCACACTGCCTGATTTTATAATAAGGATTTTGTATTGTAAGGTTAAATACCTTGCCCAGGGCCAGAGCTGGTAATCTTTGGAGCCAGGCTCATTATATAAATCACAAAATTATAATAACAACTACTATAAAAAGTGAATTACCAGCTATTTTGTAATTTTGCCCTCCAGAAATAACTATTAAAATGGTTTGAAGACTATTGCTTCAGATTTTACTGCATACTTGCCCCTATTATAACAATAACTACAACCATAATAATAGCTAATATTTATGTAGTGCTTACTATATGTCATGCACCATTTTAAGAATTAACACATATTAACTCATGTCCAAGCATGTATTCTCATTCCCATTTTATAGAGGAGAAAACAGGCAAGGGTTAAGCAAGGGGTTAAGGCCAAATTAATTAAATGATGAGCTGAAACTTGAACTTGTTCTGGCTCCAGAGCCTATGCTTTCACAACACTGGACTGTTTTGACAATCATTATTTAGTAAGACAGTGAATAAGAGGGAAGCAGTCATTCTCTATAAGGAGAAGGAAAGCTGACTAAAGAAACAGGACTCTGGGCTGGGGATGTGGCTCAAGTGGTAGCATGCTTGCCTGGCATGCGTGGGGTGCTAGGTTTGAACCTCAGCACCACATTAAAAAAATAAAGATGTTGTGTCCACTGAAAACTAAAAAATATTAAAAAATTCTCTCTCTTTAAAAAAAAGAAACAGAACTTTTTCTTAGCTTGCATCAAATATTAACTCAGTATAGTTCCCATTCTGTGTATGAACTCCTTGAAGAGTATACCAAAATTATTAACCACGCCAGGTGCAGTGATAAACATCTGTAATCCCAACTACTTGAGAGGCTGAGGCAGGAGGATCTCAAGTTCAATGATAGCCTCAGCACCTCAGTGAGACACTCAGCAATTTAGTGAGATCTTCTCTCAAAGCAAAATTTTTAAAAAGGTGGAGGATACTGGGAATATATCTCAGTGGTTAAGACCCCTGGACTCAATCCCCAATACCAAAAAAAACCTCCTGATTTATTAGACAAATTCACTATCGGTGGGTCAGATGTCAATTGAGAGTCTCCTGTACTAAAGCAACTTCTGTTGGCACATACAGTGGGCAGGTTTGCCTCCACAGCACTCATTCCAGTCCTCTCTCCACTACATAGCAGAGTTTAGGGTGAGAGTGGTCACTCCTAGCTCCGGGTGTGGACTAACTGGTATAATCCCTCCCAGCCAAGTGACTGGTAATCCAGGCCTACAACAGTTAGTGCCTGGATTCCATGACCACAGTGGCTGTTCAATTGGTTTAATCTGAGGGATATTCAGAGCTTTTGTTCACTAGGAAGAGATTACTCTTCAGCCTTTCATGAAAGAGGAAGCCCTGGCTGTTCTAGCTAATGTCTGCAACCATGCAGGAAGCCTGAGGACAAAGTAAAGACACAAAAGAAGGCAAAGCTAAGACAATGGCAAACCTCTGGTCAGACCTAGGAGTGACTGAAATCCAGCCTACCTTCTGGACTTCTCTATTGTACTAGCTAATACATTTTCTTTGTTGCTTAAGCCAATTTGAATTGGGTCTTCTGGAATTTTAGCATATCCAATTGTAAAGTATGGAAAATCAAAAACCCCATGCTTCAAAATGCAAGAGAAGTTCTCAAAAGCAAGAACTCACTGATAATACTCCAAAACTGGCTCCGTTTGTGCTTCATAAGCCTTCAGTCTCTTGATCACTGTGTCTGGTCTATCATCCTCACGCTGAATCAGAGGCTCTCCTGTCAGATCATCTATGCCCTAAACAGTAGTTAGAAGACTGGTATTAAATATCATAATCTTTAAAGGAAATTTTTATAAGCACTTCAGTGAATCTCTGTTCAAGCACCAATTACAAAAATATGTTAACTTCTAAACAAACAATCCTACCCAAAGACAGACCATTGCAACACAGAGCCAAGAGAAACTAGGATTATTTCTGTAGTACTATAGTTTGGATCTGGAATGATCCCCAAAGGTCCATGTGTTAAAGGATTAGTCCTAGCTCATGACACTATTGGGAAGTAGCGATACCTTTAAGAGGTGGGGCTTAGTGGAAGGTCTTAGTCATTGGGGGTTTGCCTTGGAAAGGGACTGTAGGACCCTGGTCTCTTCCACTTCCCCATCTTTGTTCTACCATGTGTTCCCCACTATGATTTGTTGGCTCACCACAGGCCCAAAAGCAATGGGCCAATGGATTGAAACCTTCAAAATTGTGAGCCAAAATCTTTCTTCCTTGTAAAGCTGATTATCTCAGGTATTTATTACAATAGGGGAAGGCTAGCACAGAAAGTAGAAAGTGACACAGTATCAGTCACCTTAATAAAAAGATTTTCTAACCAACCTCTAAACAATTTCATACACACACATACAGATTCAGCTATACACTGAGAACCTCAACTGTCAGTGCTGCAAATCCCTCCTGCCTCTTCTCCTAACTCATTTCCTGGCACAAAGTAGGAAATGAACACATACTTTTGAATTTCAAGTAACAAACCCCTGTTGCTCCTGGAATGACTTCACTACCAACCTGAATGGACTACAAGTAACCTGAAAACATACCCTCAGGAATTTTGGTCAGGTACAAGATTTTCAAGTTCACCAACTTTATGTCCACGCAGGCAAAAGGACTCAAGGACAGTCTGCCATATGTCCACTCCTCTACAACTACTCACCACAGTTTTAGGAGGGTTGAATTCAATGTTGTAGACTCGGCCACTGGCTGGATGAATCCAGCGAGCAGTGAGGCGGTGTTTAATGACCTCAAAGGGCACATTCAGGTTGATTACTGTGTCTATCTGATAAACTTTATCCAGGGCTTCTGCCTGTGGAAGTGTCCTTGGAAAACCTTTAGAAAGTTTAAAAAAAAAAAATGAAGGGAGAGAGGAAAGGAGAAAGGAAAGAAAGAACAAAAATTAACATTGGGATGTTGGAAGCCAGGCTTGGTGGCCCACACCTATAATCCCAGTGGCTCCAGAGTTTTAAGGCAGGAGGATCACAAAGTTCAAAGCCTGCCTCAGCAATTTACCTAAGCAATTTAGTGAGAGACCCTGTTTCAAACTAATAAAGAAAAAAGGGGTTGGGGATGTAGCTCAGTGGTTAAGTACCCCTGGGTTCAATCCCTGGTATTAAAAAAAAAAAAATGCTGGACAATCTAAACAAAAGAAATACCATAGGCAGCTTGATCATAGATGTAATACAACTGTACTAATTAATTTTTTTGAGAGTGTGGGTCATGGGATCCCTAGATATTTGATCAAACATTCTGGGTATATATGAAAGGGTGTTTTTTTTTTTTTTTATGAGATTAACATTCAAACAGGTAGACTGAATAAAGTATATTGCCCTCTAAAGTATATTGGCCTTACCAATCAGTTTGAAGGTTTGAATAGAACAGAAGGCTGATCCTCTCAAGTACCTTCTGCCTGACTGCCATCTTATTAGGACATTCACACTTTCATGCCTTTGAACAAAAGCTGAACTCATCACCTTCACTTAGAACCTCAAAAGGCTTTTTTGGAATGTGACAGAAAACAAAGTAGAGGAATAAGCCCTAACAGATAACCAATTTATAAAGCAGCCCTAATCCCCAAACCTGAAATCCTATGATGCTCAGAAAGTCAGATTTCAGAGCTTTTTGAATTTTGAGTTTTTAGATTAGGGATGCTCAAATAGTAGTTTATGCAAATATCCCAAAATACAAAAAACTGAAATCTGAAACACTTCTGGATCCCAGCATTTCACATACAGGATACTCAACTGGTATAGCTAAAGTAGTTTAAACAATGTGGTTAAAAAAAACAGAGAATGGCAAATTGTAACTGGTTAGTGAATCCAGAAACAGATACAACTATAGGGAATTTAAAATAATATTTTGATCCCCAAATTTTTGACTTTGCAGTGTTGTTACTAAGGACATTTTGGTTAGAACACCAGGAAAAATTTAAATTGGTAAAAAGGAATACTTTACAAAAGTGACAAAGATTAAAAGTGTACATGCAATAATTTGTTAAAGCTAAAAATACATTTTCTTATTAGCACTGAAAGATGGAAAAATTTTCCTGTGACCTAGACTTTATATAGCTAAAACAGCAATTATAATAGATAAAACTATACCCAAGAAACCCGGATTTGGGGTAAATAGCCCCTAATAAAAGTTTATAATGGCAAAAAGCTCAATCTATATATGGCCCCAAACTGAATAAGTCAGTCATCAAACATTTATTATAAAATTTACAATGAAGTAAATGATCCTGATAAAAATAATTTTAGGCAAGTGCTTTACCTCTGAGTTATATCCTTATCCCTCTAATAAAAACATTTTAATACATTTAATGAGAACAAATAGAATATGGTGGCTAAATCTATTGAGTGCTCTCCAAGTTCCAGGATCTATATATAATGTCAAATATTTTATAAAGATAACTTCTTTCAACCATCATAAATGAGGCACTATTATTATTCCCACATTACAAATGAAGAAACTGAGGCGTAGCAAGGTTACTTGCTCTTCCTCACAAAGCTAATTAAGCAGTGGGAGTAGAATTTGAACATAAGCTAACCCAACATCTACTCATAACTAAAAGTTGTGCACTAAAAAAAAGTGTCAATAAAAACACTTCTCTATTTGTGTGTTTGGTGCTAGGGATTGAACTCAGGGACACTTTTTCGCTGAGCTACATCTTCAGCCCTTTTAATTTTTTAGTTTGAGACAGGATTTCACTAAAATTGCTTAGACCCTCACTAATTTGCTGAGATTGGCCTTGAACTTGCGCTTTCCTGCCTTAGCCTCACAATTTGCAAGAATTATAAGCCTTGCCATTGCACCTGGTCCCCTGACCACCATTCCTGATAACTTTCTATAGCCCATGAAATGATCTTTGTCTTGCCAGCACTCATCATTTAGGACAGCTGGGATGCTCACAACACTCTACTTACCATAGGACAGTTGGAATGCTCACAACACTCTACTTACCATCCAATAGCCAGTTACATTGGGTGAGATTTTTTAGCTCATGGAGGGCTAGCCGAGTCATGACATCATCTGGGATGAGCTTCCCTTGGTCAATGAAAGTCTTGGCTAACACACCAATCTCTAGAGCAGAGGGGGGGAAATCATTAAGTGCATTTGTTTTATCCTAGTGGTTCCTAAAACTGGTTCCCTAAAATTGACCTTGGGAAGCACACCTGTATGAAAATGTGTATCATCGACTTTTCTGCTTAAAAACAGGTTACAAAATAAAGTTAAGCCTATTTCAAATCCTCCAGTATGAAAAAATACATAAATATAAATGTATAGATGGAAAAAATAATACAAAGTTATAGACCAATATGCTAACAGTAGTCATTTCTTTGTGATAGAATTGAGAATAGATTATTTTTTATATATTTGTAATTTTCTATTTCTCTCAGGGAAAAATATGGAATAACTGATATTTTCTTCTAAATAAGAGTTTGAAATATTCATTATTTTGAGATGGCTTAATTTAAATTCCTACTTTCATATGTTAGTCTAGAGATTTTTCCCAATCTTAAAACAGGTGCTACTGTCGTAATACAATTCAATTTTTGACTGTGATCATATTACACTTTTATTAATAAGATACTCTGGAAAAGAATTTATGAACAATTTAGAAATACTGTGCACAACTGTATCATTTTTATCCAAAAAACTTAATTTCCTTATGCTCCCTTAGTAATCTATATATATTCAGAGTTGTAAAACTGTTGTAACTTGTGTATATATAAACTTTTGTGTTCTTTTTCACTAACATTTTGTAAATATTTTTCAGTGATCTTATATAGTCATTTCTGGTAATAGTCCTCTCCATCAATGTATATCAATGCTTTATACATAAAAATATACTTTCTCACAGTGGTACTGTTAGACATTTAAATTATGTAAATTAGTCTTGGTTTTTCCTCATCACTGCTGTTTCTTAAGATCTTCTTTAAGATCTTCTTCTTTCTTCATCCTCCTCTCCTTCTCCTTCTTCTTCTCCTTCTTTTAGTCTTCTGAATTGTTTCTGATGAATACATTCCCAATAATCTGATTAAAGGTCATAGTATATATGAATATTTTCATACCTCTTGGTATGAATTGCTATACTGAACTCAAAACAGATTCCAAATTGTTAAATTCATGAAATTTTATATTTTAACCAAGAATTAACAGTATGGAAACTGCCATTTGAAGGTGTGTTATCAGGTTTACAACAACATTTGGACCTGGGTGTGGTAGTGCACCCCTGTAGTCCCATCTACTTAAAAAGCTGAGATAGGAGGAAGGCTGGAGCCCACCAGTTCCAGATCAGCTGGCACAATATCATGAAACCCTGTTCCCCCTCACAAATAAAATCTAATACAGATAGCATTGAAAAAGGGCCTAGGTTCCAAGATAGAGAGCTCTGAAGACTTATTAGATAACAGTCTTTGGAAAGGTTCATATACTTCATATGAGTAGACCATTCTGTCTCCAGGCTTTTCACTACTGCTCTAGGGAGGCAGAGTTCCATCCTTCTCAATGGTGTTTGGGAGGAAAAAAAAAAAAAAAAAGGTAAAAACTTTCAATTCTTCAGGACTGAGTCCTAAACAAATGGGTTCCATCCTCATCTCTCTTGCTTCAGACCAACCCCTCTTCTAAACTCCCAACCAATGACAACAAATGACTTTAGGTGATGGAACTAATTAATAAAATGCTTAATGCTTAATTTCATCAGTATAAGAGGAACTTCAAGAAAAGATGATCTGCTCTTGTCACTTCGAGTCAACTAGAGATTCCAGCCAGTGCAATCAGTCCAGAAAGAAATAGTATCCAGAAGGGAAGAAGTAAATGCAGATGACCTTATCTTATACATAGAAAATCTTAAGGAATCTACTAAGAAACTATTACAACTAATCAATTAATGAGTCCAGAAAGTTGCAGAGTACAAGGCAACTATACAAATAGCTAACAATGAACAGTCTGAAAATAAAACTAAGATAACAACTCAGTGGGCTGGAATGTGGCTCACTGGTAAAGCACTCGCCTAGCAAGCACAAGGCCCTGGGCTTGATCATCATAGGAAGGGGAAGACTGAATTTATAACTGCATAAAAAAATAAGAAAATTAGCAATAAATTTTTTAAAATGTGCAGAACTTGTAACCTGAGAACTACAATATTATTGAAAGACAAGAAAGACCTAACAAAATGAAAACACATCTTATATTCACGATTTTAAGAATTAATATTGTTAAGATGGTAATACTCTTCATAAGTGATACAGATTCAGTGAAATCCTATCAAAATCCTACCTACCTGATGTCTTTGACAAGCAGATTCTAAAATTCAAGGCACCCTGAATAGTCAAAACTATCTTAAAAAAAAAAAAAAAAAAGTTGGAGGACACACACTTCTGATTTCAAAGTAACAATCAAGATTGTGTGTACTGGCACAAGAACACACATGGTTTAATGGAACAGAATTGAGAATCCAGAGATAACCCCTCGACCTTACAATCAACTAATGTTCAATAAGGATGTCAAGACAATTCAATGAAGTAAAACAATCTTTCAAAAAAAAAAAAACTGCTGGGATAACTGAATAATAACTCAATATGGATCACAGACCTACATTTGAGAGCTAAAAGTATAAAAATCTTAAGGAAAAACATGTACAAAAATTCACTGTGGTGATGGTTACACAACTCTGGATAGTCTAAAAAAATACTGAATCATACTTTACAAGGGTTAATTTCATGATTATGTGGTGGAAAGTTCCTAGTAAGGAAAAAAATCCCACCACTACTCAAAGTCAATTATTATTAAAACTGATAATAGATATTTTGAGTTTTTGTATATACATAGGTAAATATTTATATACAGTATGAAAACCAAAAGCCTATAATGTTTCAACTGGAGTTTAAAAAAAAAGATTCAACTCTCCACCTCGAAGTCTAAGCAGTTTGCTTTTTACATTTTAAATGTTGACTTACTCCCTAAATTATATACAAAGACTTCCATCCAGGGTGAGCTTTGGACATTAGGTAAATATTTATTTGATTGCCTATAATTTAATATTATACATATACCTTAATAGACTTCTCATAAGAGTACCATTCACTTTTTGATTCAAAAATTAACAATTGAGTTAGGCATGATGGCACATGCCTGTAATCCTAGCCACTTGGAAAAAGAGGAAGGATCATAAGTTCAAAGCCAGCCTTAGCAATTAATTTAGTGAATTCCTGAGCAACTTGGCAAGACTCTTGTCTCAAAATAAAAAATAAAAAGGGCTGGGGATGTAGCTTAGAGGTAAAGCATCCCTGAGTTCAATCCCCAGTACCAGAAACAAAACCAAAACCAAAAACAATTTGGATGTACAAAGCCCTGGGTTCAAGCCCCAGCACCACAAAAAAAGAAAACAAAAATTAACAAATTTGGGAGCTTTCACATCTCCAAAACACAAAAAGCTAGTTTAATTTTTTTTTTTTTTAAACCACCGGGGATTGAACCCAGGGGTGCTTAACCACTGAGCCACATCCCAAGCCCTTTTTTATTTTGAGACAGAGTCTCACTGAGTTGCTTAGGACCTCAATCAGTTGCTAAGGCTGACTTTGATCTCAAGATCTTCCTGCTTCAGCCTCCTGAGCGCCGGTATTACAGGTGTGTGCCAACCATGCCCAGCACAAAAAGCTAGTTTAAAAGTAGATTCTTCACAATAAGTTAATTTTCTATAAAGTTATTCACAAATAAAAATAGAAAAGGATAGTTAAGAGGAAAAATAGGGAAGGTCTAAATCAACTTTTAAGGATAAATAACCATAAACCAGGCATTAATCTGAGAAATAACTGATTTATTACATAAACTACAATTTTTGTTTCTGTATCTCCTTTTAAAATCTGGTCATCCTCACAACATTACCCAAACCAACCTCACATCATATCTGAACATTCAAAATTATTGCTTGAGCAGCCATGAAGTACAAAAGAGGGACCTGAATCAGTTTTCTTTTACACAGACCAAAAGAAAGGGCTAGAGAGAATTAATCTCCTTCCTACCTAAATTGCTTTCATCATCATTAAATAGTAAACAACATGAACTCTACTTTTAAAAATGTGTCAAAATAAAACTAGAAAGATGACAGTGAATGGGTTAAATGACAGCTTTATCCCCCATCCTGGGCATTTTGGAGTAAAACCTTTCTCAAATAATAAAGACTTGAATTCACACAGTGGTTATCACGTGGGACAGGAAGAAGATATCTGTGGAAAGGGCACACAGAAGAGCCCCCAAAGCGCCTGGCATTCTCTCCAGGGATAGGTAAATGAGTGTTCATTTAACTCTTCTTCTAACCACACACAGACATTATACTAATTCCAGGCATAAAATATTTCAAGGAATTACACTGAAAACAAAATATTAAAGCTAAAATCTCCCTTGGCCAATGGTCCTTCCTCCAACTATCACCCAGTTTTTCTCCTCTTCAGTGAAACACTTAGAAAGTGTTTTTATACCAGATCCATACACTTCTCTTCCCACTCAACTCTGTTTCAGCATAGAATTGCAATTCAAAAATTGTATAAAGGTCAGTCTGCATCTGGCCTCATCTTACCTCTTTCCCTCCCCACTTTTACCCTACCCTCAAACCACAACCCCCAGCCTGGACATACTCTGAACATACTCAGAATCCTAGCCTTTGCACAAGCCCTTTGCCCCTTCTTTTGCCTGATGAGTTCTTACTCTGCCATGATATGGATGTGGTTTTTGTTTCTTCTAGAACTTATGTTGAATTTGGTCCCCAACAGAATAGCATTGAGAGATAAGATTTTTTAAAGAGGTGTGTGGTTCATGAGGACTCCACTGTCATTAAAAGATTAATATTACTCTTGTGGGACTGGGAAAATTCTCTGGGAAATGAGTTTTTAGAGTTTGACTAGTTGCCTTGAGAATGAATTGTAACAGATGGTGTTCTGTATCTTGCATGAAACCACTTGTCCTTCCATATCTGCACATCATAATGCAGCACAAGGCCCTTGCCAGATATAGCCACTTGACCTTGGACTTCCAGTCTCCAAAACCATGAGCTGAACTAACTTCTTTCCTTTATAAACTCA